TTAAGGGGGAATTGTTATTTACAAATTAAATTAACATTTTAAATCCTTTCATATGAAGATGTAGAGTTAGAATGGTTTACGAAAAAGACTAGTTCCCTTCAGATCTTTGTCTTTTTGTACAATCTTTGGTTCATTCCCATGAAATAAGACGAGAAATGTGTGTAACTGTGTAAATGACTGGAGAGAGTTTACTTCTCTATACACTCCTAAAAGGGTTGATAGTGTGACATTTCTAATATCTTTTCTAAATGTTGGTTCATTTATATTAACCAAAAAAAATCTTTAAAAAATTAACAAAGTGCTACAGCTCCCTTCAGGAACATATAGTATCCAATGTGGTGCACAAGGTCTGCTGGTTTAAATCCCGAATATGCTGCCAGTTTAATGTGTTGCGCAGAATCTCCCAAAGGCTGATGCACCACTGGCAAAATGTCATGATATACCAGTGATCCTCAGCTCCAGTCAGTGCTGCGAAATTGTGACTGCAGCTGTAATCATTGTGGCTGTTAGTCTCCTGTCCCATGTGAAAGCCTTGCTGTTTGCACTCAAGGATGACCTGCCTAGTTTGTTTGGGAAGTGCTGTGTCCCTCTCCTTAGCTGTATCAGTGATTAGGTAGAACAAAAAGAGCAGAAGCTGGCTAGTCCAAATTTAGTTGAAGTATCTGTTTATTCCTGGTGAAGGATGTGATATCCCAGAAACACAGGTATCAGCAGGGCAGGACAACATTCTAGACAGAACACCAGCCTACCCCTGAGCACACATACACAAATGTAACAGCAGACAGGGAAGCTTTAGAGGTACCAAGTACTGTAATCTAGTCAGCATGTCTAAGCTACTGTAGGCCACTTTCCTCTCACAAGCCATGGTTATGTCATCCAGGTTAATTGACATGTTTAACTTGTTCTTTGTCCTTGTTTGTGTGTGTCCTGTCACGGACCGACATCCCATACAGGCTTGAACCCATCTTGCAATCCATGTCTGCCAGTTTGGGCTCCAGCCCACTGTGACCCAGTGTGGAATGAAGCAGTTATTGAAAATGGATGGACAGACACCTTGATGTAATAAATGACTGAATTATCAAGTGTTGTCATCTTATTGTAATATACTCTTTCTCACTTCGGTATTCAGCAGTCCCTAACAAAATAACTATTTTTAATTTGAACAAGGTGCGCAGGATTTTTCACAAAGGTGCCTGCCGTGTGAAAATAAGAACACCACAATGCAGTTTTAAACTCCTGTTTTCCCAGCCCTTCCTGGCTTTTTAAGTACAGGCCATGTGCATGTCTGTTTGTGTTAAGCCACCAGGCTCTGAAGTGTTTGTGTCTGCTCCCTTTTATGCTCATTGTACCGTAGTTGTGCCAACAAAGCTGCTCCATTTAAAAATGCATGGCTCTGTCAACTCTGGTGTAGACAACCCTTCAGAGCTAGTTTGTATAAGAACTCTTACTTCTATGGAATTTGCTTTTACGTTTTAAAGATACCTGGAATCTCCTTTGATTGACAGTAGCACAATGAAACTGTGTCTTGACAGCAATATGCAGATAATTCAGGACAGCAAAACAACAAATATATTTTCACAGTGCAATATACACCTTTAGACAAGCTTAAACTGTCAGTTTTCTCTAATACTTTAGTTGTTTTGCTTGCATCATGTACTGATTTGGGATTTGTTTCTAGTGTATTTTATTTTTCTAGATGACAGGTGAAATATAACCTCCTTCTTCCAGTTTGTGCTACTATAAACCAGACACCCTAGAACATAGGTGCAAGAGGGTTCTTATTTTTTGTACCTTTTTAAGTAAGGGTGGTAGATCATGCTGCTTTCCTCTTGAATGTCTCATGGGGCTCTGATCATTTATGGTGGATAGTTTTGTATGACACTGCTTTAAATAGTCACAACAGAGAGGTATACAATCAAAAAACCAAAAGATAAAGCACTGCTTTTATCTAAATAATTAATCCTGATGTTCTTAACAAAAACACTGTTCCTCATGGGAAAGTTAATTGGCTGTCTAAAATCTCTTAAATGCTGTTTACCAGCAGCATCCGGAAATCCTGTTATTGTAAGTTATCCTCTTGAATATAACCTATTTGTTGCACTACCAAAAAGTGATGTTTGTCACTTTTTCAGTTGGAATACATTTTTATTCACTATATTTCCCATTTGAAATTTCTTATTGACCTTTTTGTGATTTCCAAAGTTATCCTTATAAAAGCAGAATCAAACAAACAACTTCTAGTTACTGTGTAATGAGGCAGCAGCATTGCAATTGTGTTTCTGAGCAGCAGTTCTAGGTTTCCAGCTTCACTCATACTAGATAAAAGAGGAATCATGTTGTTCAGAAATTGCATTGGGATTCTACTTGTTAGGCTGTAATTTTAAATGGGCAGGTTTATTAAGTAGATTAACTTTACCGTGGAAAGCAAAAAGTCTTCTCTTCACTTTTGGGTTAAAAAAATTAGATATTAAACAAGTATAAAGTATAT